TATATATATATATATTTGAACATAACATGTCTCCAGGAAGCGCAGGACCTCACAGCAACCGAATCTTTCGAAAAATGCCTACTCCAATGAGATTGCGGACCTGCCGCATAAGGCTGGGGTGGGTGGTGGAACGCGCAGTTCGATCCGGCCCCTCTCCCCTAGGCTTGTGGGGTAGTTACCCTGCTTGCGGAACCCACCCATTATGCAGCATCTGGCGCACTTGCCCCCCCCAGTTTTGGCCATGGATATTGGTGCATCGATATTTACAGCAATGCAGAATGGCTATAGAGGACTACAAATCCCAGCAATAATTTATACAACAATAGCATTTGCTGTATAAAGTACTGCTGAGATTTGTAGTCCTCTATAGAGGGTGCCATTCTGCATTGCTGCAATGCAGAATGGCACCTGCTATAAAGCACTACAAATACCAACAGTACTTTTATACATGTCCATTAGTTAGGCTACACATATAAAAATAATTTTAATTAATAATTTACCCTTACCTCTTCTGGCTGGTCTTATGTCTTCAACTGTTTCCTGGTGGGGGACCCTGGCTGCAGAAAAAAAACCCAGTGTCTGTGTTAGACAGTGTGTCTGTGTGCTGCTTGCTGGGTCCTCACAGCCGAGGCCCCATCTCTGATGCCCCATGATGTGCCTGCAGGCTTCTTCTTCAGCTCCCTCCTCACTCAGTATATGGGGGCCCCATCATCTCTGCACCAGGATCAGTATTCGGCGGCAGGCTGGCCCACCTATCTCTGCGCCGGGCGTGTCTGATGATCCAACACTCCCGGTGCAGAGACGGGGGGACCGCCAGATACCGATCCGATGGTATCCGGCAGCCGGCAAGTCCCACCATCTCTGGGCTGGGACTGTGCTGTGCGCCCCCCCCATGAAACATCCATCTGTCCCCTTATCCCCATTAGTGAGTTTTTAGGAACAAAAGCAGCAAAAAATATAGCAAAAAGAATATAGATTTCCTTAATATAACTGTTTATTTTTATACTTATATAGCTTCTAACTTCTTCCTGCCTGTGGGGTTAGGCTGCGTTCACACCTGACCGTTTTGTAGGGCGTTCTATGCTCGACGAACGCTCTACAAAACGGTCAAAAATATAAATTGCATTGTAGTCAATGCCCTCGTTCCCACCTCGCTGTATTTCCGCCCGTCCCTGACGCCCTACAAAACGGCCCACGCCTGAAAAGGTCCCGGGACTACTTTGGGCCGTTTTGTAGGGCGTTTTCCATTTGGATACTGCCAAGTAGCCTTTGGAATCGCGCAACTTTTTTACCGCGAATCGCGGTAAAAAAAAACCGCGTGACGGTCGCGCGACAGACGCGCATATTACAATACGCCTAGGTGTGAATGGGGCCTTATTGTCAGACAGCCTACTGCCTGCAGATCTTGAAATGATTGCAGACATGCTCACCCACCAAAGGTTTCCCAATGGGCGGGAGTGTCGGATGATCAGATGACTCGACACTCCCGGCGCAGAGACTGGGGGGCCCGCTGGATACCATTGAGTCGGTATCCTGCGGCCGGCGGGCCCCCCAGTCTCTGCGCCGGGAGTGTCGAGTCATCTGATCATCCGACATTCCCAGCACAGAGACTGGGGGGCCCGCTGGATACCATTGAGTCGGTATCCTGCGGCCGGCGGGCCCCCCAGTCTCTGTGCTGGGAATGTCGGATGATCAGATGACTCGACACTCCCGGCGCAGAGACCGGGGGGCCCGCTGGCCGCCGGATACCGACTCGATGGTATCCGGCGATTAAAATACATTGCGTTGAATTGACAAAACATGTACAGAAATGTGCAGAATGCTTGTGTTGTGTGTTTTCAGGCCTTTACATTGATGTCTATGGGGTCAAATGCGCTGTAATCTGCCAAAAGAAAGGTGCTTTTTCCAGCGTTCTGCGTTTTACAGCTTGCAACACAACTCTCAGGTGTGAACAGTGGCCATAGAAATTAACGGGATTTCTGAGGTACCGAGCAGAATAGAAAATAAAGTGAAAAGAATGAAATAAAAAAGTTGAAAAATAATTTTAAAAAAAATGTAAAAAATAGGAAAAGAAAAAAAATTATAAAATAAAGAAAGAAAAAAAAATACAAAATTGAAAAAAACCGCTGCACGCCGACCCGACCTCATGCAACGGACTCCCGCCGCATAATGAAGCATCTGACAGATTCCAGCAAAAGAAAAACAATTGGGTGGACCTAGCGGTGACAGCTAGCAACCGCCCAACTGTTTCCTATTGGCCGGCACCTGCCAGTGTCTTCTAGCAGGTCCCGGGCCAATGAATAATAACTGGGCAGAGCTGACCCAGCTGTCATTTGCGTTGAGATCGGTCCTCTTCGGCCAACCTTTCTCCACGCTTCGGCTGTCACTTCGGTTCAGTTGAGCCGAAGCATATACCTTCGGCTTGTGTGAGCCTCTCGGCTGCTGTATGGGCTATTGTGAATAGTCCGTACAGCAGCCCTTCGGTTCGGTTGAACTGAAGGATCAGCCAAAGCTACGGCTGGATCCTTCGGCTCTTTAGTGAATAACCCCCTTAGTGTTTGGGCAAAAATGTTAAGAAATAGTTTTCTGGGGAATGTATATTTGTTTGATCAGGATTCATTACTGAAAATAAGTCCAGGCATACAGAACATTGGTGTTATTGTTCCTGAAGAGGAAAACCCAAAATATAATAATATGCTGTAGTACATTGGAGAGCAAAGTGTTAAAAAACAGGAATTTCATGTAGCTCCTTTCCTAAAGTGTATCTAAACCCAAAACCAAAAAATGTTCTCGATTACCAACCCTTAGATGTGTTGGCTGCATCAGTTTAATTTTTTTTAGGATTTTTCCCCCCCTTTATTTTCACCTGATGATCCGGCCAGTAACACACTTCCTGTCTTAGGGTGTCTCCACTCTATGGTGGAGCAAAAGTCACCCTTTGACAGCAGCGTTGTCACCCTGTGGTGAGGGGAGTGTTAGATACTTTGCAGATTTAGTTGGACTTGACTAACAAATGAAATCTGAACTCTGGATAATACCTTTTAAGCAGTTACAGCAGCAGGTTTTTTTTCCTTTTGGTTTTACATATTTGAATAGAAGCCGACCATTCTAAGCCCCCGCCAGTGATAAATGGTTTCAGTTGATAAATGACAGACTTGCTGGCAGGATCACTAGGTGAAAATAAAGGAAAAAAGGCTTTAAAAAGAAAACTAATGCAGACACCACACTTAAAGATTGCTAAGCTGCAAAATATTACATTTTTGCTTTTGGGTTTTGTTTCGCTTAATGAAGAACTCTACGTAAAGAAAAAAACTTACTGTTGCAGTGGGGCTACCCCTTCACTGCAAGGGTTAAGTGCTTATGTTATCTAGGGGGCTCAGATAAAGCTGTATTATTAATGTGTTCTCGGTCCTGCGGCTGTCAGCACTCACCTCTCTCCTTCACCACTCCGGCTATGGAAGGTTAAGGGAGGCTTGGGAGACTGGTCTAGTAGCTCAGAGGAAGCCGGCAGGACCAAGGATCTTGTTAGTAGTACAGTTTTATTTGACCCCCTAGACTAGGGGTGTCAAATCCAAAGTTACTAAGGGCCATGCCAAGGGTTTTGGATAAAATCAGGGGCCGGAGGACAAAAAGAAGAACAAAAAAATGAACCCTGCTGCCGTACAAAGCCCGTACCCACTAATCATTATATGACTGTCCTGGTGTCCTGGGTGTGAGGGCACTATAGGTGTCAGCAGTTCCTGTCCATTAAATGGACAGAGACTGCTGACACTTGTAGTGCCCTCCCACCACTAATTTTTATTAGTGGTCAATACAGCCACTAATAATATATTTTCATTGGATAAGTCTGATACTGGTGGAATGGGGTGTATGTAAGACTCTTAGTCAAGGCTCAATAAAATTAATTCTGCTTTACTGCTTCATTTATACAGCAAGATTAAGCAGGTTACATCACCTTGCCACCTTGGTAATTTTGTTTTGCTTCAGAAGGAATCTTTTTTATTTTAGTTTTTGAATTACTGCTTTTCATGCAAGTCTTAATATATCCACAAGATGGCAGTATGATCCCAGGACCTATTCTTTGCCTCAGCCAAATACGGTATATGTATATATTTTTTCTCTTTCTTATACTTTTAAACCTACCTTCTAACCCCCTCCCCTCATTTATATGTCTTCTAGTATAGTTATCCTTTAAAGAGGAAGAAGCATATAAAAGACATCAGCACCTTAAAAGGTAATTCCACTTTCTCAGGCAAATTTGGTAATATGGAATTACCCCCACCATCTGCTATCTCTCCCCCAAACCCCATGCTGCTCCACCTCCCTCCCCTGCTGTTCTTACCTGTCAACGATCACTCCTTCCCCTCCATGGCAGCTGGTGTAATATCAAATATATACCAAATATACCTGGTAAAGTGGTATAATAGATTGCAGCTTTCCAGTTCTAAAATGGGGGCTGCATTAGTCTACAATTCCTCAGCCATTCTTTTATTTTTACCTGGCGATTCTGCCAATAGCACACTTTCTGACCAAGGGTGACAACGCTCACTCACCGTACTGTGTCAGGGCATCGGCAACAGAATAGGACTACTAGAATGCCGAACGGGCCGAACAAATGCCGAACGGGCCGGTGTGCGCACGCGCACACTGCCCTTCAGCATTGCGGTCATCGGAAGCCCGCCCCTCAGGGGGGCGGGCTTGCGATGATCGAGAGTGCGATCTGCCTGTCCAAGATAGGCAGATCGTACGTTTTTTTAATCCCTGTACAACCATCGCAAGACTAAGGTCTTGCGATGGTTGTACAGTGTATGGCCACCTTAACAAATAAACCTTGTGCATAACCTCATCCAGTGTGGTCATATTAATTTGGTCATCCTGCGTGGGTACCTGCATGTGGTGTGAGGACGCCTGTGCATGGTACCCCGACACAGATCAAAAGGGAGCAAACAAGAGAAGCTCATTGTTAGGATTTCCATACCTTTTAATTCACATACGTTGAAAGCAGAGGACAGGAGCATAAGGCATGGTTTTGTTGCTAGACCTGTTTCTTGTTGTAATAGCCTTATTTGAAGGTAGGTTTTATAAAAGATCTCTGTGCAGCTATGTCCTGGTCAACAGACCAGTATCTTCCTTCTTCTTCAGGTTGCATGCACAGACAACACTGTGGGCCATACAACTGTGTATAGAGAGTCAGATCTATGTATCGCTTTGCACATGGAGATGCATTGATGTTGCACATATGATGAATAAACGCCACAGTGGGTGAAATTAGGATGCTTTAGGCCTCATGCACATTGTAGATTCTTGTAGCAGGAATTCCAGGTGAGTCCGTACAGATGCGGCCACTGTGCCCATTCAAGTTAATGACAGGCTGACAGTGGCCGCATCTGTCTGCAACTGCCTACATCTAGTTGTGTGTTTTCTTTTATGAAACGGTGTGCATTTATTATTTTTTCTCAAAAAGTGGGCAGTCCCTTTAAAAACAAATATGTGTTACTAATCTCAGAGCAGTAATAAAGTCATTGTCCAGCAGCCTCTTTTATTACTGGGAATCTAGGGGTCACCATGATCTCTGCACTCGATCTCCCAGGTCTTTTCGCCTCCCACAGCCTCGCCTGATTGATTTGCCCCTTTCCTTCTTTATAATGAAATGTAAATCACGGAGGAAGGGCCCAAGCTGGGAACTTCCACCATAGTCACCATGATGCAATAGTAGGCAGTGGGTTACTTTACTCCTCCTCTGAAGCTAATCTCCACTTCCGTGACAGTGTTCTTGTGTTCCTGATTCTCTATATTTGTCTTCTAGGAAAGCGTGGAAAGACATAAATATCTAAACGGGTTTAGACAGAGTGCTGGAGATGCATTTTATGGAATTAACCCGTTTTCTGATTTGTCAGCTGAGGAGTTTTCACGTAAGTTATAATCGCAGTCTTATATATTCGCCTTTTCTTGTTTTAAATACTCAAATTCTCACCATGAGCCATTCAGCAATATAAATCTCTTGTGAAACAATGATAACTTGTGTAAGTGACTAAAAAAGCAATACCAAGTTCCTGTAGACTGAAACTTAACTGGCTCCTGCTTATTTGTTTTGGACCGATAGGAGTGTAGGGGGTGTAGGCGTTTTGAGGCAATGCCATTGTGTAATTTGGCAGCATTGTCACCCAGGACTCCCAGCCAGAGGAACTGAGAGGTTCCAGAAAGACAGTAGTTTTACAGAGAAAGAGCTGGCTTTTTAGGTATTTCCAGGTTTTCTGGAATATAGCTGGGATCGGGGACCCTGGAGATGCCCAGCAGAGTTATTCACATGGGAGTTGTAGAGCAGCTGGATTCACATGGGAGGTGTGGAGTGGCCAGAACTACAAAGGTAGGGGAAAGGCTCTTTGGGAATGCTAAAGTACATTGAAGGCTGCTGGAGATGGTTTTCTCTGTGGGTAAGTAGTCTGAAAGTCCTGAGTCCAGGACATCTTGTCTATGTGAGACAATCTGTAGTCAGTGGGACTGTCCTATAATTTTATGGAAGATAGCCAACATTATGTTTGTTATGCTGAAGGAAGTCATTTTCTGCTTGTGAAGAATAAAGAGACTGTCCTTTTATGTTAAAATGGCTTCATGAGTGATCACTAAGCGCTCACCATATGTGCTAAGTTCCCTAAATATCACAGGGTATGATAAAGGGTATCTATGGTCAAAAATGAAAAATAAATATGTACAGTATTACTCTACTAAATTTCCATAAGTTCTATCCCGCTCCTAATAACAATATTGATCTAAACGTTTGTAAATGTCCATGGGTTGTACTTCCTCAATGCCCTGAAACAATTTCACTCAGCCTTGTGAATATGGATTTCATTGTGTCACAACTCTCCTAGAGCCTGCCTTCTGAACTACAGAACAATGTAACATTATCATTGCTTGCTGGAAGCAATGCATTATGTAGTCTTCAGAATGCACACTTGGAATCCAGGAAGGAGTTGTAAGTTGTTGAAAGTGATGGGCAGACAGAATGAAGTACTCGCTACATAAAAGGATTTTTTCAAGTAAACTTTGATTGCATTATCAAAAACACCTATAGTATGTATTAGGGATGTGCTGACACCGATACTCGTACTCGACCAAATGCTCCGATACGTACAATTGATCCTGGAACTTCCAGTCAGTGGGAGATTTCGTCTGACTGGCAGTGCCGCGAGGGAACATGGAGCCGGCTCCCCAGCCCATCAGGAAGCCGGGCGGCGGGTAATGACATGCTGCCTGGCTTCCTGATTGGCTGGGAAGTCGACTCCATGCTAGCGGAAGTATTGGTACCGATAAGTATTCCAGTCCAGTGTGATCCAACCCATTTGCTGTCTCAGCCTACAATCCAGACATGGTTGCAGAGAATGTTCGTTGCCCTGTCCGCTCCGGGACCCGGCCAGTAGGATTGTAAGCCGTGCTCCTGACTGGGCCCCCCTCTGTTACGGGCCTCATAGCGCCCGCATGGGTCACTCTGGCAGTAGTTCCGCCACTGTTCAGGAGTTAAATCTTAAAAATGCATTCTGGTACCCTATTAACAATAATGTATCTTCTCTATGTGCATCACTCATCTGTAGGTCCTCAAATCATCTTTGAATTGGTGCTGACACTGTGCTTCCTTCTGGAGGGTGGTTACTTTTGTTCACCTGTGTGTGTTGTAAAGTAGCCACCACTCCAAGCTTACTCACTCACCGAACATGCTCTACTTCCTTAGTAAATGAACCCCGTTGACTCAGAACTAGAATGCATCCAGTAAAGCAAAGTCTGAACCCTTCATACTTGTTAAAGGAGAACTATGGGGTTAGGGCTTTTCCCCATAGTTCGCCTTAGGGTAACGGGAGGATAGAAACTAGCGTCCTCCCGTCACCCTAAGCTCAGTATACCGCGAGCTACAGCTCGCGGTATACTGAGACGCCGCAGTATACTGTGAGCTACAGCTCGCGATATAGTGAGACGCCGCAGCTGAAGCGGATCTCGACAATTATGTCTGGACCTGCCCAGCTGCGTGAGTGACAGCTGGCTATGCCTATCTAGAGGCAGAGCCAGCTGTACCCGCCCTGTCCGTTCCGCCAGTCAGCGCTGGAGGATCGGAGAGGGGAGGGGGGAATCCAGCCCCTCCCCTGGTACGGCAGAGAGCCGTGACAGGATCAAGAAGTGAGCTAACGCCGGTATGTGTTCGCTCACTTCCCGATCTACTGAGCTGACCCATGACAGTCTCATTGTCACAGGTCGGCTAGAACTATGAGGTGAGTCAAAAGCACTCGCCTCATAGTTCTCCTTTAAATGTCAGAGAACCCGATGGATAAGCATGACAGGCAACTAGCATTTAAAGTAAGGGTCAGCAATGATAGGTTTCTTTTAGCAACACACAAGGCTAAATCTATGCAGCATGACTACACACTTGTGGCAAATTTAGAAAACAATAATTTTAAAAGGTATAAGACTAATTAGAGTTCTAAACAAGCAGATTGTCATCGCTTCTACTGTATGTTACACATTCTGCATATTATACATGTAATTTGTGGTCTTTAGATATTCACCTGAAGAGCTACCCTGCTATGAAAGACGATTATATTGTGCCTAATAAAACTACTTCAAGGGAAAATGCTTTGCCATTGCGGTTTGACTGGAGAGACAAAAACCTTGTGACATCAGTGAAAAATCAGATGGATGTAAGTTACGAGGGTCTTTTTTGGCTTGTTTTTGTTCTCCGGTGAAAAGCTGTGCATTGTTGTCACAAAAGATACATTTGTGTGTGTGCAAAATAGTCACTTGCTCTTATAAAAGTGTAAACCAGACATCGTCACTTCATGTCTCTAAATTCTTTTTACACAAAGTCCTCTCATATAGTTTAATATTAAATCATGTATAACAAAAAAGTAATGCACTTGCATATGGAAATAGAATACCCCGTCTGTCACATTGCCATAGGTCTGATGTATGTAATTCTTCCAGCCAAACGAATTATAGATCAGACATTTTTAAGACCGATATCTTATTCCCATACGTAAGTGCATTACTTTTATCTTTATGAAAGAATTCTTTTATACTGCACTTAGATCTGTGCACTTGATTCTTTGTGGTTTTCTAGTTATTACTTTCTGGGACCTCCAACCTACTGGGCTGCAGGATCAATGTCTTTTGTATATATCACTATATGACCAGACTGGACTCTAAACCAGGATCCCTCATACTTATCCCTTGACCAAGAAGATCGAGTTTTGCAAGGTTGTGACTTTTTTTCTTTTTCATTTAGTTTATTGCAGGGGTAGGCAACCTTGGCACTCCAGCTTTAGTGGAACTACAAGTCCCATCAACAATTGCAAGACTCTGACAGCCACAGGAATGACTTCCAGTCAGGGCAGCCATCAGTAATTGGACGCAGGACTTAGTGACGCGCTGGACGCAGGGCTTAGTGACGTGCTGGACACAGGACCCACGAGAGTGACCCTGCAGAGCCCACCATAGATGCTGCACAGCCCATCTGAAACTGTCTATGGTGGGCTCTGAAGGGGTCTCAGGTGGGCTGCTCAGTGTTGCATCCTTCCCCTCCCTTCCTTCCTTGCTCCTCTTACCTGCACACAAGGCCTCGTCTGCCGCCGGACCGGCCAGAAGTGACGCCACGTCACTAACATGACGTCACTTCCGGCCAGTCCGACATCAGACGAGCAGCGTCGCTGATGGGGCCCTAGCTTGTCTCAAAGCCGCTGGAGCAGCAATGCTGGGGCCCTGCGCTGCTAGGGCCAGGCCTCCTCGCCCTTCACCATTGGCCGATAGTCATGTAAGGGACCTGGGCGGGCTGCCCGGGCCCCTTACATGAGTATCGGCTGTACCCCCCTGATGGCTGCCCTGCTTCCAGTGGCAGAGGCATGATGGCATTTTTTTTCTCGCCACAGCTGGAGTGCTGACATTGCCGACCCCTGCATCACATCTATCGTGGCAACATACAATGGGGGATTTATCAAAACTAGAGCAGACAGAATCTGGAGCAGTTGCCCATAGCAACCAATCAGCATCCCTGAACATGAGACAGAGAAGCTGATTGGTTGCAGTGCAAATCTGCTCCAGATTTTGTCTGCTCCAGTTTTGATAAATTCCCCCCAATGTGTGCTTGGCTTCCATATTCAATTCACTATTTGCTGCTGTGAAACAGTCTCACTTGCGGGCTGCTATGAAACCATAAAAAGGATATTCTACTGTTTACTTCATTGGATTGGTTTGGATATGCTATTTGGGCATAACAAAATGCAAGCAAAGGATACACTAATAAGTTATGCATATTGCCTCTTCTCCTCTACACAGTTAGTCCTAGAATAGAAGACCTTACTACAGTAAATATTCCATATAATATCACTTACAAAGTACACGACTGCTTATTTAGACCGGACATAATACTTTATATACAAATATATGAACAAAAAGCTATGTATGTATACCATATTTATTTGAATGCATACTGGGTGCTTATTAGTGTAAATTGAATGTGAGTTTTCACTAAATTTCAAGGGCATGGAATGTTTGCCCCAACATTGGAGCTGCCAGGTATAAGTGAGAAGTCCAGCTGAAAACGTGTCCCAGCCATGCAGAATTGGAGGGAGGGAGATTGCCCTATCTGGCTCCCAGAGTATAGAACAACTAACAGTACTGAGCCAACTCTACTTCACCCAAATTCTAAAATAGAGGCATATGTTTTAAGTAGAGTTGTTTTTTTTAAATGATGGTGGGCTATTTAAGCAATTGGTAGCTACAAATAAAACACCACTTTTGGGTAGACTGGACCTTTGAATGTTTGGGAAATTGATCTGCTCTGCTTTAGCTTTACTTATGAGTTAAAATGACACTAAACTCAGGAGTTAAAGTGATATTAAAGTCAAAAGGATTGTAAGCTATTTCAGAAGCTAACAATATACTGTATGCTGCTCCTTGATGTTTAAAAATGTTAGTTTCCTGCAGAATCAGCTGGTCCCCCGAGCACTGGTCTTGACTTCTGTTTTAAAGTGACTCCTTTCCCAGAGTGCTATACAGTCACCCTTGTGTGTGCTAGTAAGCTGTGTGTGTCTCCACAAACACGCAGACACATCAAGGCAAGCTACCTTCCCCTCTCTGGCCCCTCTTCTCCCTCCTCCCTTCTTCAAGCTAGTAGATGAACAGTTGCTGGAGTCTGCTCTGTCCCTTGTGATCTTGTACTGGACAGGAAGTTCAGGGAAGCTGAGCAGCTGTTCAGAAACATGATGATTGCAAGTGTTTGGGCAAAAATATAAAGCAATGCTACGCTGGGCAATGTGTATTTGTTTGATCTGGATTCTTTATTGGAAAAAAGTTTAAGCGTTTAATACTACTTTAAATCTGTAACATGTATTCAAGTACATTACTATTAACAAAAATGTAATTTGTGCCTATCACTCAGCTGTAGATCATCACACTGTCCTTCCTTCTGGAGGGTGGCTACCTTTGTTTCCCATGGTCTCTGTGTGTGCTGTAAAGTAGTCACCGATCTAAGCTCCCTCCGTGATAGACTACAATCTCATGTTTAGTTTACTAATTTATATTAAACCTAGAGTCTATCACGGGAGCGAGCTTGGAGTGGTGGCTACTCTACAACACACACAACAGGGACCATGGGGAAGAAAAGTAGCCACCCCCCAGAAGGAAGCACCGAGTCAGCAAGAATTCAGACATGATTTGAGGATCTACAGCTGAGTGATACACAAATAACATACATTTGTGTTAATAGTTAAAGTACTTGAATGTATAACGCCTGAGTTTAGTGTCACTTTAGGTGTAGTGAAACCAGGATTTAAATATTTTTTTTTTTTTTTCAAAATTGCAGTGATCTGTTATGTAAAGCTTGCAAAACGTAGTAATTGTTTTCGCTCTCTTTTTCAGTGCGGTGCTTGCTGGGCTTTCAGCATAGTTGACACTGTGGAGTCTGCCTATGCTATCAAAGGACAACCTCTGATGGAGCTTAGTGTACAGCAGGTCATTGACTGTTCGTACATGGACAATGGCTGCAATGGTGGATCCACGCTCAGTGCCTTGAAATGGTTATATCAGGTTGTTTGATTTTCCCTTTCTCCCATATTGACATACTTAGTGTCTTCACAGAAGGGCACCAGTGTGGTGTACATTAACTCCACTTAAAGCCCAATTGGAGTCATAGAAATAGATGTTGGGTCAGGTAAACATTTTGCTAGCATCCTTTATTTTCATGATCTTGCCTCCGCTTTCCTGTTATTGCAGTTGTACATTTTATCTAAACATCACTGCAGTGATCTGTGTGCAGAACACTACTTTTAAGGCATTTCCAAATTAAAATGATTAAAAAACGTATCCTTCAGCAGTGGTAGGCAAATTCCAGCCCTCCAGCTGTGTTGAAACTACAATTCCCATTATGCATTAACCTCTGGGAGTCAGGCCTGTGGCTTTCAGTCTTGCAATGCCTAATGGGATTTGTAATTGCACCACAATGTGTCAGAACTATAAAAAGGTGTGCTACTTCAATTGGGCTTTAAGTGACTAACTCAGCTCTTTAATAATGTTAACGTAAAATACTGTTTCTGGACAGATTCTGTCCAGACCAGAAACAGTTAGCTCCTGCACTAAAAACGCATCGCAATGTATCCTTATGTGTTTTATGAGCTCCAGTTCACACCAGCGCATTGCTTTCCATTCCAGACAGAAACAATACTGCATGGCACATTTTTTCTGGTCCGAAACGCGTGCGAGCGTGTCAAAAATGCACCAGAAACGCACCGCACTGCAGCTAACTAAAAAAAAAAAGTGTATTCTAGCGCCACTTTTGATGAAGGACGAAAGTGACCTCAAAGCAAGAATCTGCAGACTGACAGCCCCTCCTCCCCCAAAAAACATTGCATTCGGAACGCGATAAAAACGCATCAAAAACACTCTGCACGCATTCCACTGCGTCTGCAGATCTGGACCAGAAAATGGTGTGAACAAGCCCTAAAGCTCTTTAATCAGGTGTAGACGTTTAGTTCAGCAATTCCTTTCCTATAATCCTACATTGGTTGACAATACTTTTGAGCTTACTTCACTTTTATTTACCAACTATTTTTTGTTTTTGTTTAAGTCGCAAAGCAAACTGGTGAGGTCCTCGGTCTACCCCTTTAAATCTCGCACTGGATCATGCCATTATTTCCCTGCAACGGAATTTGGGGTGTCTATAAAAGGATATAAAGCTTATGAGTTGAGGTAAACTTTTTTTTTTTTTTCCCCGTTATCATATCTGCTCTGTACACTGTATTTTAAGTAGTTTTAGTTATTATTGAAGTATTAACTTTGAAGTCATTTTGATGTGACTTTCACATTTTACGTGCTTGTTTTTTTAAAGTCTTTTGTATTGTACTAAATTGGGATTTATAGATTAACCACTAGAGTAACCAGAGTTTGCTAGGGGTTCCTTGAGCTTTGCCCGATTGACCTCCAATTTAATGGTGCCTGCCATGTTCCAGGGTCAAGGCCAATCCCAGGTTATAATGCAATTATCTTTCCAGCTATCTATGAGGGTCACATTCTTCCTACTAACCACCAATGTAAGGGGCATTTTGTCCATTGATCACCAATGAATTGGTTTTAGTAAGAATTTCCCAAGACCTACGAATTATTTTAAGGGTTCTGGTGTAACAAGGTTGTTAAAGGCTGCACTAGAGAGAGCAATTACTCTGCCTCTATTCTTAAAGTGACACTAAGCTCAGGAGTTAAATCTTAAAAATGCATTCAAGTGCCTTCACTATTAACAATAATGTAGCTTATTTGTTTATCACTCGGCTGTAGATCCTCAAATCATCTCTGAATTGGTGCTGACGCTGTCCTTCCTTCTGGAGGGTGACTACTTTGTTCCCCATGGTCCCTGTGAGTGTTGTAAAGTTGTCACCGCTCCAAGCTCACTCCTTTGATGGACTACAATCTCAGGTTTAGTTTACTAAATTGTATTGAGATCACTGGCGGAACTACCAGGGTCGCAGTTGCGACCGGGCCCTGGCGTTCCGCCACTTGGGGGGGGGGGGGGCCCAGCGAGAAGAAGAGAGCCCCCCCGAGAGAGTGCCGCTCCTTCCCTGCCTGTAAGAGACTAGAAGAAAGTAGGATTTTAGATGACTAGGATACTGGATATATGAAAAGATTCCATGAGGCATTGCTACATACTGTATGTGTGTTTTAAATAGTAACTTTTTAAAACAGAGTGTTTTTGTTAAAAAAAAATGTTTGCATCCAAATAAATTATAGGGGTTTATCTGAAGATATAATCTAGTATATTTAAGGAATAATATTGGACATTTATCAAAACTGTTTTAAATGCAAGTCAGGAAAATATTTGTTTTCTGTATGCAATATGTGTAATAAATGAGCTGCTATGAAAATTTATACTTGTGAATGTGTTTAAAACAAGCCCCCATAGCACTTCTAAGTGCTGTGACAGTTTTGAGTTCAACCATAACTAAATAAGTGCTCACAGTTGCTGCACAACAGAGAGAAATGGCAGTCAGTCCCTACTTGTCTGCATTATCATGCACATTTCTGGTTGCAAAATAGACCTACAGTAAGGATTAATGCAATCATTTTTGCACGGAAATTGCACATTAATTGATACTCCATGTCCCTCTATGACAGGGGTGGGCAAACTCCAGCTGTTGTGGAACTACAAATCCCATGAGGCATTGCAAGATTTCCACAGCCACAGATTTCCCATAGACTGATGCATGATCAGATTTGTAGTTTTTCACCACAGCTGGAGGGCCTGAGTTTGCCAACTCCTGCTCTATGAGGTCTATTTGTAAACAAGAAGAGTCCATGAACCCATCGCACTCCTGACCGCTTACTCCAAAAGAAGGAAAAAATGGGTGCTGCGGTGATCAATGGATGGCAGCCGTAACATGCATACGTAGAAAAAGGGACAGCGGCACTCCAATTGCGATGCAAAGAAATGTCTATTTATTGATGTGGTGCAGCATATCATACAAATGCAACGAGGAAGGGGATCCTGTGTGACCCCGAAACGTTTGTTGCATTTGTATGATATGCCGCACCACGTCAATAAAACATTCCCCAGTCTTTGAGAATAGAATGCGCAAACAGTTTTTTAAATTACAGCCCATGGTAAATTTAGAGAGCCAACAATGGTGGGACATTGCCTTTTTAGAGAAATACATTGATATTGGGATTACTCCCAGAGGTCTGAGAATCCTAAAAACCTGTGATTTCTTGGAACCCGACCTTTTAACAAATTGGCAACTCCTGGCAGAATTTTGCACCAAAAAATGGATAGAAGTCATCATTACACAAAGAAAACTTAAATTAATTGATATATCCACTGAAGTTATGAATCTTCGTCATACTATACAAGAGTCGTTTGGCACCTCTTGCCTTTTTGGTCCATGGATGACCAATCTAAACCACCATACTGCAGTTTTTGAAAACAACACCATATGCTCGAAATCAAAGAAATTAACCATATAATTTGAATAGAGTCTTTCAGTGGAAACACAATCCCAAAAAAATTCACAGGTCCAAGCCAGTCCCCCTTTCATCCATACATCCCATACCCACGACAAGAATAATGGGTCTCTCTTGGGATGAAGACCATCTCAGATACACCTCTGATTCTAAACCCACGAGCAACCACCATAGGACTAACAAACCCACTTGGACTACACAGATAGCTCCCCCGGTGCCCCCAATCCCTATTCCCACCTTGGCCACTAACACTATAACCAACAATGCATCCACATCTGGTTTAACAACAGTGCGCACTCAGAATATAGAAGCTCCGATGGTCCCTGAAACTCCCTCTAAAGACCACCACCACACCCCTTCCACCATGATACTCGATAATTCACTGGTACATTTTTTAGACCTGGGACCCATCCACCCTCCAAAAATAAAAAGAAAGGTACGAGAAGAGGAAAAGGTCTGAACTTTGCCCCAGACGCCAGACCGGATTCTTTCACCCTATTCAAGGATCTTAATAAAGTTATTAGATTACTCACCTTGAGGAGACACTATACCAATAAATCAACCACTTTTAGTGATGCGACCAGCCCTAGTAGCCCAAATTATAATACCCTGTTAGATATTCTTGATGAACAAGATGGTGATGTCCTCAACACTCTATATGAATTGGTAGATCTTAACTCTTCATTGACTTCTGATTTTGAGTGCCTTATCAACTCCAATGTCACCCACACTTCCCTTGAAATCAACTTTCTTCCCGGTCCAGTCCAAAGGTCCTTTTATTGAAACGTTTTATCACGTTGTTTATGCCGATCTATTAGAGATATGCAAAAAGGCCAAACATCACCCCAACTTGACCTCTTTAGAAAATAAGGCCCTTCAAAATCTAATTTCTAACAATGATATTGTCATCAAACAGGCAGACAAGGGAGGTGGGATAGGTCTTAATGAGGAGATTGAGGTCAGCACCGTCTTGTAATACTTGCTGGCTCAATTATGCTTGTATCCATTTTTAACCTTTTTAATCCCTTTTAATCTTTTGATATTTCCGTCTATTGTGTTTTAACCATATGTTTTAAATAAACTAGTTTTTAATATGTACTTCTTTTAATATGCACTTCTTTTAGATCACAGGTATATGTACTGATGACAAGTTTACACACAAGAGCATAGGTATAATAATAACCCTTTGCCCTTATGGATGTACCAACCCAAATATAGTCCCTATAGATGCTCATTCTGTAGCCACACACTCAGATCGAGATTGCTGTAGATATGCCGCCCCGTCTTCTCCCATCACCGTATCGTTATGATATACGGGCTCGGCACGATCCATGCTCAAGCACGCCCCTAAAAAGGGACTGTACCCTGTGACTCGACTTCTCCACCAATCACATCCAGTACAGAAAACGTTTGACTCCTCCCAGCTGTCACATTTAAACACAGGCAAGATATCCCGCCATCTCTATTATATTCCCCACTCAGGCTTGACAAAGAGGCAGAGCCTCGAAACGCGTAGCCGTCAGCATTGGACAATGCCCCTGTCCTTTTCTTCCATTCGCCTCCGTTTTTGACATACCCGAGACACGCGCGGATCGACTCCTTTGGTCCCCGAACGGTCCGGCAGTTGACATTACCTTATACCCACACAGCCGCGGCTCAGCCTGGCCAGCTGAGGCCGCGGTGTTCAAACAATCACCCTTGACAGCTATTAGACTGCTCCCCGACATCTCCAAACGAGCTGACACGCTGTATGCTGACACCAGCAACGTGAGTAAAGGTTTCACAGGAGTGGCGCTTTTTCATCTTTGTGATTTATGTAAACAAGTCGCAGACCCATTTGCCCTGTAAATCTGTCAATTTTCGTTCCCTGCAAATGGATACACAAAACTACCGTTCCTAGTATATTTTCTTTATCAGTCCAATGTAAGTTCAAATGTCCTTATATAATACCACACTATGGTCACTAGATAAAGCTGAGGAGCATAGGAAATAAATATTTCTTTCATATGCTGGCCTGTTCTATGTAGTAGTCATAATGCAGTATTTTACATCTAGTACATTCGAACTGGAAAATAACGTTTGTTTTGGGCTCCATTTGCACAGGATAAACGCTTGATGATGGAGTTTGCCCTGCAAATTGTTTATAAATACACCTCTGTGTTTGTGATATTTAATTATTTGGTTCCTGATGCAGCAGCATAAAGGTGTGCAGGGAAAAAGTGTAGCCACTGACCATTACCCTTATTGATGCTAGGGCCAAGAGTAGGCCGTAAGAAACAAAAATAAACAGTACTGCTTATTGCAGCCAATCTAGGTGTTAGTCCAACAAAGCCCTTTAACAGATCCAGGGATTGAAGGAGGGCGGAAGAGCTTATCTATTCCTGAAGCCCCTGAAAATCGGAGGAGATCCGACACGATCACAGAAGAGAAGAGGAAGAGCACAGGGCTTTGTGCATTACAAGAAGCTTTTAATTGAAAAAAAAGTACAAAAAATAACTTGCAGAATAATTAACACGGCCACTTCCCCTTAAGGCAATCAGGGATGCAGCAGAGATGGAGAGTCTGGCAGACCGCAGCTGGCAGCAGAGTTTTGTGGTAAGATATCACCCGGCAAGAAGCATCCACGCTCTGGGACCTGCTGAAGGATGACAGCATGAAGCATCCACATTTACTAGGATAACCTCAGGGAAAGATTTACTGTAGCTAGGCAATGTATTTCAGGGCACAACCTTCTTAAGCCA